TGGAGGCGGGCCTTTCCAGCCACCTACGAGCGCCACTTTCTCGAGTCGAGTCCAGAGGGGACCCCACCTTGGGAGAGCTCGTGGTCGGAGGCGCAAACACAGCAGAGTGGGCTGGAGGCTTCCTATCTTTTCTTCTCAACGGCTCTCCCACCGCCGTCCCTTCTGTGTCTCGTGGTGACATACAAGTAGCATGTATTTAATGAACATCTACTAGGTGCCCTGGTGATGCAAAAAGCTAACTGAAAGGTGGGTGGTTCAAACCCCCCCCCCCCCAGGCGCTCTTTGGGAGGAAGGCCTGGAGATCTGCTTCTATAAAGATTACAGCCTGGAAAACCCTACGGGGCAGCTGTACTCTGTCACGTGGAGTCACTATGAGTTGGAATCGACTCAGTGGCACCTAACAACAGCACCTAGGTGTGGGGAACCAGCCTAGAACAAGGCAGAAGTGGCTTCTGCCCCCTTGGGATTTACAGTCAGGGGACAACAGGATCTGGGTTAAGACCACTGAGGGACCTTGGCTTCTGTGACCCTGTGGGTGGAGGAGACAGGGGCTGGGGAAGGGATGAAGCCCCGCCCCCGCTCCCACCCAGCCTGACCTTTGGACCTACTCGCCAGGAAACTGGGCAAGTCATTTAACGTCTCTGAACCTCAGTCTCATCATCTATGACATGGACGGCATCTAGCCCTCATGGTTATTAGGAGGTTGGAAGGAACAGGGTACTTGCTACAGAGTAGGTGGTCAGCACAGGTTAACTGTCAGTCTCCCTGCCCTTTTTCTTCTCTCCGCCCCCATCTTTGTCACTGCGTCTTTAACACCTTCTCGCTGTCTGTTGGCACTCTTGCCGGCTGTCACTCATCTGTCTCTGTCTATTTCTGTTTCTTTGCCCACCCTCCCTGCCAGTCCCCACTGGCACACTGTGGGGGTGTGGCAGCACCTGCCAGATACCCCACCATCCATTTCTTCCCTTCCCCCTGCCTCCCAGCAGGGCACGTTGCCTCTGGGAATAAAAGACTACGTGTGTGGCCTCCTTTAAAGTGGGTGTGGCCATGGGACGAATGTCTAGTCAATGAGACGTAACAGGAGGCCGTATGGGATTAGTGGGAAGACTGCTTAAATGCACCTGTACTTTGGACACATTATCAGGAGGGACCAGTCCCTGGAGAAGGACATCATGCTTGGTAAAGTAGAGCATCATAGAAACAGAGGAAGACCCTCAATGAGATGGATTGATGCAGTGGCTGCAACAGTGGGCTCAAGCATAACAAAGATTGTGAGGATAGCGCAGGACCGGGCAGTGTTTCGTTCTTCTGTACATGGGGTCACTATGAGTTGGAACTGACTCGATGGCACCTAACCATGACAACAACAACGTGGGGGCAATTCTCCTTCATAGGGTCGCTGTAAGTCGGAGTCAACTCAACGGCAATGAGTTTGGGTTTAGGGGTGTGGAGGAGACCTTTTTTTGCCCTTCAGTTTTATCCCCCTTCCTGTTGCCTGGAACTTGGAAATGATGGCTGGAATTCCGCAGCCATTTTGTTTAAGCCACTGTCATTAGAGGATTCTCTAATTGGCAGCCAAACCCAATTCTCATTAAAGCAGGGTTGCTCACTTAGACTACAGTGTGAATGGTGCCACTGTTCAGCAAAGTGGCAGTGAGCAGAGGAAGTAGGGGAGGGCTAGCTAATTTTTTCAGCTCCATAGCACAGTGCTTCCAAACCCGGCCAGACACCTAGACCACATGGAGGCTTTAAAATAAAAAATGATAGCTGGGCCCAACCCTAGACATGCAGCCTGCCATCCAGGATGGGGTCCAAAAATCGACAATTTTTCAAAGCCCTCCCGGCCAAGTTTGGAAACAGCTCTGAGGGGGGTTCTCAGGGCAGGGAACTGATAACATCAACCCCACACACAGAGCGCCCAGGCCAAGGCGGAGGCATTGCACTGCCCTGCACAGAGGGAAGTGGAGAAGGGATGGAAGCAACTGGCTGCATCAGCACATCTTGACCTTTGAGGGGGCCTGAGCTTCTGTGACCCTGTGGGTGGAGGAGCCAGGGGCTTGGGAAGGGGTGAAGGGCCCCCCAAAACCTGCCCTGTCGCACCTGATGAACTTGTCAAAGACAGCGGCACACTCCCTGGGTTCCTGCAGTGCCACCTCGCTCTGGTTCTGCAGCAGCCCCCGAAAGAGCTCGCTGTGCAGGCCCAGCAGCAGGCGGTGGGCATAGAAGACGCGGACCTCGTCGGTGCCCGAGGCCTGCACCCTCAGGATCACGTCGCTGGCGTTGCCCTGCCGCAGCAGCTCCTGCAAGCGCTGGAGCAGGATCTGGGAGTGGTTGATGGACGTACCCGCTGCCTCCCCACCGACGTCAGCTCGCTGGGCTGTAGCAGGAAGGAACACATGGCCTGAGAAGGCCCCGGGGCTGAGGGTCAAGTCTGGGGACAGAGGGACCGGCTGGAGACCTGCACACACGAGGGTAGCAGAGGGGTGGCAGGCCTAGGAGGCTGCGTGCACATCTGTTTGTGCCCACTGGATGCATGAATGCACCTGTGTGCACGCAGGCACCTCCCGGGTTGGGAAGGTCGTGCCCATCCTGAGAGGTTGCTTTTGGAAGGGGCGTGGGTTCTGGGCAGGGAGAGGTCATGAGCCAGGAATGGCACGACATGCCCAGAGCTGTCTCCATGATGTCAGACCCCCAAGCAAGGGTTAAAGGAACTCTTGGACCCCCACCTGTCTCACCTCCTGAAGAATTGCCCACTTGACTCCTCACAGGAGTTGTCAGGACAAGTGGTGTGTTCATTAACAAACATTTACCGAGCACCTACGGTGTGCCAGACATTCTGCTGCCAGCTTGGGATGTAGCAATGAACAAGCCTTACATTCATTCGTAAAGGCACATTGTGGTGTAATAGACGTAGTACGCAAGGCGCGCTCTGGTGTTAGACTGTGACGCGTGAGACAGTGACAGTAGCAGGATGGGGCTGGCTGAGGAAGTGACCAGAGGCATCAGCCAGGGAAGAGCATCTGTGGGGAAGCTGCGGTGCAAAGGCCCTTGAAGGGGATGGGCTGGGGGCTGAGGGGGTCAGGGAGGCTGGGGCGGGGAGTGGAAGTGGAAGGGAAGCTGTTTTCCACAGCTGGCCAGCCCGTCCTGCTCTCTTTGGGCCAGATCTCTAAGATAGGAGCCCACCTCCAGTGGGTAGCCTGGGGAGGGGGGACCCAGAGAAAGTGCAGGGGACCAGCTGGGGCCAAATGGGATACTCCCAGGAACTGGGTGTTGAGGCTGGCATCCCTCTCCAGCCTGTCAGGGACTCCATGAGAGTCAGATGGGGATGTGGGCTCAGCGACAGAGCTTCAGGCTCTGAGAAGACCTCCTAGCAGCTTCCCCAAGTGTGTCTGACAAGGAGGATGTCGGACAACAGCCAAGGGCAGCCCAGCTCACTCACAGACTCGCCCATGCACACGCACTCACACCTGAGTACACACTCATGCACTCTTACACACTCACTTGTTCACCCACGTTCACACTCGCACACACACACGCACTCACACACACTCCCCCATGCACACGCACTCACACTCGAGCACACACTCGTGCACTCTCACACACTCCCACACACTCACGCACACATACGTGCACTCACACGCTCATACACAACTTACTCATGCACATACTCATACACACGACTCACTTGTGTACAGTCACACACACCTCTTGTACACACTCATACAACTCACTCGTGTACACACTCATACACACAACTCGTGCACATACACACATGCACACTTGCACTCTCACAAGTGTGACGCCTGTGGACTCCTGCGGAGAGGGCTCATGCAAGAGCAGAGCATCCGTGTGTGTAAGAGAGAGTGAGGGGCAGAGCGAGAAAGGGAGGGCGGGAGAGAAGCAGCAGTTAATCTCCAGCCCCGCCTCCCCAAGCTGTCACCTCGAAGGACCTGAATGCTGATGGTGTCCCCATTCCTCTCTGCCTGGGCCCAGGACAATGGAAGCGTCTGGTCCCAGCCCCTGCCTGCCTGCCCAGCCCTCTGCCCCCAGGCAGGCCGCCCTCCTCCCCTGGGAGCTGTTGAGACCACTCCACTGTTTGCTCTCCCCGGCCTGCTGGACACCACCGGCTCTTGGCGGGAAGGTCCTGCCCTTCCTCCCTGCCCCTACCCCACCCCCATCCACGGCCCACTCACCTGCACGAGTTGCCAGGCCCACCAAGGCCAGGACGGCCCAGAAGCTGCCCCATGACCCAGGCGTGGCGTATCCTACTCTGAGCATAATTGTGCCCACGCCCCCAAGTCCACTGCAGGGACACGGAGCCCAGACCACTCCCGCTCACCTCCCTCCTCCTTATATAGGACCCAGCACAAGGCGGACAGCACCCCTTTCTTGGACGGCCTCCCTCCCCCACCCGGCCTCTGCATGGATTGGTGGAAACTGGCCCCAGCTGTTGCCCAGGCAACCGCTTAAGCCCAAGAGTGGCAGCCTCAGGGGCTATTGTGCTGGCTGTGGGCCCCGAGGGGGACAGATCCGGCACCCCTCCCCCAGTCTCCTCACCTCCCACAGGGCCAGCAGGCCCTCTCCTGGCAAGTTTTCGGCCCTCGGAAGGACAAGCAAGGGACTCCAGGGCCACTGGCAGTGCTGCCCCGAGGGTCCCCAACGCCCTCCCCCAGCGCCCTGGGTGCAGCCTCTGCCCCAGCACGGAGCAGGCTTGGCAGCGTCTTGGCTGCAGCATCGTGGTGAGCTGGCTGCAAAGGGCGAGCCTGGAAGGGGAGAAGGAAGAGGTTGCTCAGGCTCCTGCTCCCCCGTCCCCATTTCGGGGTAGGCTAGCTCTCTGGAGTGAGTCCCTGGGTGATGCAAACGGTTAGCGCCAGTCTGCTGCTAACCAAAAATTGGAGGTTCCAGTCCAAGGAGAGGAAAGGCCTGTGATCTACTTCAGAGAAATCAGCCATGGAAAACCCTACGGAGCACAGTTGTACTCCGACGCAAGTGGGGTCGCCATGAGCTGGAGTCGGCTCCTCGGCAGCTGGTATAACTGGTGGCTCTCGGGAGACGCGTCTCAGGCTGGGGCTTGGCGGGTAATGGGTATCATTTTCACGTTCTTTGTTGACGAGTGTTCCTGGCATGCACTGGGGAGCAGGGTGACGGGCCTTTAGGGAGGCCTTATGGGGACTACAGCCACTACGCCAGCCAGGGTCCAGGTGAGTCACCGATGGCAGGGCTGACCCGTGCATCACTGCATGGGGAGGACGGCTGCCTGGAGCAGGGCTGGCCCCTCCCAGGAGGCTGGCCCTCTGCAGACAGCCCCTCTCCCTCCAGCCTGGTGCCCGGCTCTGCCCCTTCACCTCTCCCTTTAATTCATCTTCCCCAAATGGCCTCAGGTTTCTGGGTTCTTTGGAAGGCTGCTTTTACCACCTTCTGTCCAGCTTCCAACTGTAACTGCCCCTTCCCAGAGTTCCAAGGAGACAAACCGCACACCTAGCACCGTATTTTGTCTGTAGGGGAAACTGAAGCAGAGAGCAAGGTTCCCGTCTCAGGGAGCATGCTTCTAAAGCAAAGGGGCTCAGTGGTAGAATTCTCACCTGCCACGGGGAGACCCAGGTTCCATTCCGGCCAATGGCCCTCACGTGCAGCCACCACTCGTCTGTCAGCGGAGGCTTGTGTGTTGCTATGATGCCAAATAGGAGCTTCCAGACTAACATGGACTTGGAAGAAAGGCCCGGCGATCTACTTCTGAAAATCAGCCAGTGACAACCCTATGGATCACAACAGTCCCAGCCACAACCGATGGTGGGGATGGCGCAGGACCAGGCAGCATTTTGTCCCATTGTGCATGGGGTCACTTGAGTTGGGGGCCAACTGGTCAGGAGCTAATACCGCCAGTGCATGGTGGTAATAAAACACTGACTTGAATTCTCCAAAACTAAGGCAACAGGGAGGAGGTTGAGGTCTACAACCTAATAGCAACTGGGGAGCATTAGGGTGGAGTGCTGTCGAGGCCTCCCCTCAAAGGGACCAAGGGGGCTGGCTCTAGCTCCTCATGGGAGGGACTCCTTTTAGGCTGATGAGCTCAAGTGGGTGTTCCCGAGAGCTCTGGCTCTGAGTTTATACCCAGGCAAGGCCCTTGATTGGAGATGGGTTGGGGGGTCTCCTCTCCCTTGCTGTCTGGATTCCTGGGACCAGTTCAGTGCATTGATTCCTGCCCCAGGCTGGCACAGCGAGACCGCCAGCTCCTCCTACTTTCTGGAGCCACAGAGAGAGCAGGAATTGTGTGTGGCACCCGCTTCCTCCGGGTTGGCAGAGAGAGAGCTGTTTGATCCAGCGGAAACCCCTTCTGGCTGCTCTGACTTTCACGCCTGGCTCCCCTCGTCCGGGCCCACCATCCCTTGCCCGCTGGCTGCCCGCCTGCCTTCCCCGTGGGCTGTACAGCCTCCCCAGCCCGGCCCAGTGAGTCAGAGCCTTCACCCAGTGGGGCACCCGGGCCTCTGAGGACAGCTGGCTTTCATGCATGAGGCTTTCCAATAGGTCTGTTGTTGATGATAAAATAACGGTTTTTGGTAGACCGCTTATTAACTCCAGCCTCCTCCAGGGTTACGTCAGTAGTTCTTGAAATACAGCCCACCTGCGTCAAAATCCCCCAAGCTCCACCTAGGAGCCAGAATTCCCCAGGGGCACCGCCTGGGCATCTGTATTTTTAAGCACGTGATGATTGTTATGTACACCCCAAGCTAAGCTCTACAAACTTGAGTGATGGCATTTCAGACAAGAAGGAAGCTGGTGGTGGTGGGGGGTCCCAGCTAACCAGAAGTTCCCAGAAGGGTCACCTCCAACCTCCCATCTCTGAGAGCCCCCACCTCCTGATATGTCTGTCCTCCCTTGCCCCTGAGCCTCTTCTAATGATCTAGAAACTGGCTTTCCAGAGGTGGGTGTTCTCTGTTCTCATTTTCTTGGTCCAAGTATTACTGGCGTGTGTGTGTGCACAAGTGTGTGTGCGTGTGTACATGCATGCATGTGTGTCCGTGTGCATGTCTGTGTGTGCACGTGTGCATCTGTGTGCACATGTGCACACAATGCATGCTTGTGTGTATGCATATGCATGTGTGTGGACACGTGTATGCATGTGTGTTGACGTGTGTGTGCATGCCTGTGTGTGTGTACAGCTATGTGCGTGTGTGTGTACGCGTGTGTGTGTCCTGGGGCCGAAGAAAGGAAGGAGGGTATTCCTGCATAATCTCTGAGATGAAAAGACTGTGCAACAGGACGTTTTATCTTGCCCTCTGGCTCTGAACGGGGCTCTGCGCCTTCCTTGAGAGCAAGTCTGACAAATTCACCAGCAAGAACAATTCCCAGAGAGGAGCGAGACCTCCCGCCTGAGCACGGGAGTGTTTACAATTGAGCAACTTGCCTGAGGTCTCAGCCAGGGATTGGTGGAACCAGATTCAAATGCCGCTTTTCTGCTCAAGTTTTCTTTCCACAACCCCATGCAGGCTTTTCCGAGAAGCTATTTCAGTGGCAGTAAAAGATCCGCATCAGGGAAGGAATCTCTAATGTTGTAAAGCAACTGAAGTCTCCCCCAAGCTTGGGGCAGGGTGAGGAGTTTCTGAATCTGCAGAGTGGGTGGTCAGACGCCAGACAGTGGTACCACAGAGGGGTGGGCGCCTGGCCCTGCCCCCAGCAGCCTCCCCGACACTGTGACATCTCCCTGCCTGAGTTGGGGCTCCCACTGTGACTCGGACACTTAGACTGCGGAGCAGGGAATCATGAGTTCAGGTTCCAGGCCTGTGTACTCCGGGGACACCCTAAAGATAAGCAAGAAGGAATCTCTCCCTAAAGTAGCTTACACGATGCTGGAAGCTTCCTTTAAGCCAGGTGGCTTCTGTCACAGGGGCTTGTCCACGTTCCTGCCTCAGGCTCTTGGTGGTGCTGTTCCCCATCTGGAATGCTCTTCCCCATCCCAGTCCTGTCCCTTTGATCAGTATCTCTCTCATCCACGAAGCCTGAGTTACAGTGCCCCTCCCTTCCCAAGCTCTTATTCTTCCTGAGAAGGCTGCGTCAGGGAGTGAAAGATGAACAGCTCTGAGGAAGGGGGTGCAGAAGAGAAACCTAAGTTCAAATTCTAATGGCCACATCCTAGCTCTGTGACCTTAGCCCAGTTGCTTAACTTCTCTGAACCCCGATGCCCCGTTGTGTAAAATGGAGGTAACCAGAGTCAGTGTGTGGGGCTGCAGCAAACACTGAAAGTGTAGGGACGGGGTAGGTGAATGCTAGCAGCACCCTCCTTGCCCCTTACACTTGGTGGCCTTTTTAACACTACGGAGACAGCTCCTCAAAGGTGAGGCTATGCCTTAGTCTCACTCCTAGCCTTATGGTAGGTCACTGGGCAGTGCAAAGGGTATGCACTTGATACAGTGCTTAAGAGCTATGGTGAGCTACGGCTGCTAACCAAAAGGTCGGCAGTTCGAATCCAGCAGCCACTCCTTGGAAACCCTGTAAGGCAGTTCTACTCTATCCTATAGGGTCGCTATGAGTCGGAATTGACTTGACGGCAACAGGTTTGTTTTTTTTGGTTAGTACTAACCTAAAGGTTCGCAGTTTGAACCTACCCAGCAGTGCCACAGAAGAAAGGCCTGGTGACCTGCTTCCATGAATATTACAGCCAAGAAAACCCTATGGGACATTTCTACTTTGTAACACATGGGATCACCACGAGTTGGGATTTACTCCAAGGCAACAGCAAAAAAAGCCTCATGGTGCAGGGAGGAGACAGCGTGGGGAGTTATCTATGATGCTTGTGCTTTGGGGGGCTGGGGTTCTGGACTCTCTGGGGACCCTGCCGTGAGCGAGGAGTGCCTGCTTCTTGTCCCACTGTCCCATCCAGGGGGACTGGCCAAAGCCAGGGGACTCCCGGAGGCCAGCAGTGTCAGGACATGGCCACCAGGAGGCAGCAAGGCCTCATCTGTGAGTGCCTCGCAGGTGGGGCGGAAGTGCCAATAGGAATAGAGGGATTGAGATGTTTCAGCCTGATGTGGCTCTAATTTAGGGAGCCGGGAGGGCCTCCCTGCTACAATTCCGGCGGGCAGCCCGTGGAAGCGATTCCAGGTCTTAGCTCTGCTCCTACATCAACCCATGGCTGTCCGGGGGTCACTGTGGGTGCACTGCTCACTCTATCCTGGGGAGGGGAGCGGGTTACAGATTCCGGCCTCTCCAGAGTGCCCCCGGCACCTGCTGGTGTTTATTTGCCAGCAGCTGACAGTCCTGGAGGATTTCACCAGGGCCAGGAAAACAACAGCTTGCCGGGCCACATGCTGCGGGCAGCACGGTCAGGCTGCTCCAGGCAGCCACCCCACCCGACTACCGTGCACTGCCTCCTGCCCAGGCCATCCTACCAGGCCAGCAACCCCTTGGCGGGCCAGCCCTGTGCTCAGCCCACCCCACAGCCTCAGCAGAACCAACTCCTGCAAGCCTGGCCCAATGACCTCTCTCCAGATCACAGTCCTGACTGCGCAGCCTCACCTCGCCCTACCTGGCCTGTGTTCCCCACCCCTCTATCAGGAGTCCCGCCTCTTCTCCACTCCAGGTAAAGCCTTTCAGAGTGTTGATGCCCACAGGGTCAGCCCCTGGTCTCAACCCTACCCTAAGTCCTTGCCCCCAGGTGTCCTCACCCCAGCTGAGCCCAGGCCAGTCTCCAGAGTGCCCTACGCATGAGGCAGCCCACCCAAAACCCTGATGGTGCCCTTCACCTACCTCACTGCCCCCTCCCCAAAGCAGACAGACCCATTCCAGACCCCTAGCCTCTCCCTGAAGCCCCATCCCCAGCCTGGCCCCCTTCCCTGCCTGGGCGCCCTGGGGGATCCTGGTTGACCCCAGGCGGTATCGCCCATAGACTCATTCCCCTGCCTCAGCCCCACCCTTTCCTTTCTCCTCCTCCCTCCTCCCCTCGTCCCCACTCTCTGCGAGCACAGGCTCAGTGCGCTGGGAGACTCTCGGGGCAAACAACCACTTGGTGAGCCAGGTAGGGGAGGGAGCTGCAGGGGCCCCCAGAAAAAGCCACAGGTGACCCAGGACCCAGGAGCATGGTGCTCGAGGGACTAGAGACAGGTAAGTTGTCTAGGTGCTGAGGGTGGGACGGTTGACGTTGATCATGAATGGCAGTGGGAGGAGGAAATGAGTTTAATGGGGAGAGGGGCTTCAGCAGGAAATCAGAAGCTGGAAGGTAGAACCTAAAAAGATCTAAAGATGCTTCTCATCCCAGCTGTGGGATCCAGGGCAGGTCCCTCACCCTTCTGGGCTCAGTTTGCTCATCTGACACTAGTTACCAGTTGCCATCAACTCAGGGTGACCCCATGTAAGTCAGAGCAGAACTGTGCTCCACAGGGTTTTCAATGGATGACTTTTTGGAAGTAGGTTGTCTGGTCTTTCTTCCGAGGCACCTCTGGGTGGACTCGAACCACTAACCTTTCAGTTGGCAACCGAGCCGTCAACCATTTACACCACCAGGGACTCCGCTCATCCAACAACCTGGGCCATCCCGGCCCCAATTGTGCATCGCATGAAAAGGGGTGCCCCTGGGCTTAGAAAAGAGAGGAACTCAGAAATGGTCTCTCCTTGGAGAGGGGATGGGTGTTGAGTGGAGCTGGGCAGCTGCTGCAAATCACTGTGGGTCAGAGTTGCCCAGGGTGCAGTGTAAAAACACAGATGCCCTGGCCCACTGCTCTCCCTCTGGCCAGACTGCCTGGCGTGGGGTCCAGGAACCTGCATTTGACAAGCGCCCCTACGACTCTGATGTGCGGCCCATCGAGGATGGAAACCCACGGGAATAAAGCAAACGAGATGTGGTTCCTGTGACAGCAAGAGACCCTACTGAGGCCCCCCTTCCCATCAGCGGGGGAGCCAGGACCGAGGGAGGTGGGCTGGGATGGGGATGGACTTGGCACAAATTTTCATGGCGATAGAGGGTGCCACTTGTCTGGGCCTGATAGGGGGTGTGCACAGAGCAGGGGGGAATAGAACAACCCCGGGGTCGGGGTGGGGCTGCGGCTGGGCCAGGTTGGGAAGAGACCAAGTGCTGTAACCCTGCCCTTCTGCCCTTCCCAGCTGCCCAGCCACCAATGACCCTGCTGCCTACGCCCAATGGCAGTGGGCTGAGCTGGGAGTTTGACGGCCTCTGGCCAGAGATCCCAGAGAGGTCCCCGTGTGTGGCTGGCGTCATCCCTGTCATCTTCTACAGTATCCTGCTGGGTCTGGGGCTGCCTGGTGAGTGGGGAGCTGGGGGCTGGGGGCTTGGGCTTGGCCAGAAGGCAGGGTTCTCCCTTGAGAGTGTCAACTTTGCTCTGACCCCTGAGACCCAGGATCACGGGCCCCAGGGCTCCCCTCATGGGGGTGTTCTGGGAAGCAAAGTGTAGAAGGGAGTGAAAATGAAGGGCTAGGATTTGGGGTGCTCACCAGAGCAGAGCCCCCTCTGCCGCCAGTGGTGGCCACCCTCCTGGATGACTAAGTTCACCAGATAGCTCTCAGCTCAGTCCGCATCTCTTCATACCGTCCACTGCCTTCACGAGCCAAGGTCCCTGGAGAGCAAACCTTGGGGTAGGGTGGGTGCATGGATATGGGAAAGCATAGATGGTCTCAGCCTTGGGGTTTCCCCAAATCCAGTAAGAAAAACCCTCCCTGTCCTCGGGGAAGCCCTCTCTTTGGAGCACATAAAACCAGTTACCATGAAGTTGTTTCTGACTCATGGTGACCTCCGTAGGGCTTTCAGTGGCTGATTTTTTGAAAGTAGATAGCCAGGCCTTTCTTCTGAGGTACTCTAACCTCCAACCCTTCAGTTAGCAGTTGAGCATGTTAACCATTTGCACCATGCAGGGACTCCCTTTAGAGGACACGTTGTTTCTTGTGTGCCATTGAGTAGAGGGTAGAACTGCCCCACAGGGTTTCCGAGGCTGTAATCATTACGAAAGCAGACTGCCACATGTTTCTCTGGCTAGTGGGTTTGAACCGCTGACCTTTTGGTTAGCAGCTGAGTGTTTAACCACTGCTCAGGGCCTAGAAGGGAATGCCACAGGGACAGGTGGCTTCTGAGGATGTCCTGTGAGTGAGTTTACCTGTGTATAAAGACTAGGGCTTCGAACTGGTTCATTGTGGTTCGAACTCCTACTGAGAATTTACATGTCTAACAAGTTCCCAGGCGATGCTAATGCTGCTGGTTGGGGACCAATTCTGAGAACCACTAGCAGAGCAATGGTTCTCAAAATTTATTACACATAAGAGTCACCTGGGGATCTTGTTAAACTGTAGATTCTGATTCAGTATATCTGGGAGGCAGAAATGCAATTATTAGCAGGGGTTTGAACTGGAAGGAACCAGTTCGAAGCCCTGGTAAGAATGGAGGCCTTGCCCCTGGGTGAAATGAGGTGTGTGGATGTACAGGGCAGGGTGGTCTGGTTAGCCTTCATGACAAAGTGGGCCTTTAGAAAGCTTTTAGAAAGGAAAAGAGAAGCCAGCACAGCCTCCAGTACAAACAGGTGGGAGGGATAATGATAGCACCTTGGAAAAAACAAGTCTGAGCACCCCTCTAATGCCTCTGCCCTCTTCCCTCTGTGACCTTGGGTGCCATCAGCCAACCTTGTGACTGCCGTGACGCTGGCCCGCCTTTCTGCCAGGACCAAGAAGCCCTCCTACTGCTACCTTCTGGCGCTCACGGCCTCTGACATCCTCACCCAGGTGGTCATTGTGTTCATGGGCTTCCTCCTGCAGGGCGCTGTGCTGGCCCGCAAGGTGCCCCAGGCTGTGGTGCGCACAGCTAACATCCTGGAGTTTGCTGCCAACCACGCCTCAGTCTGGATCGCTGTCCTGCTCACGCTCGACCGCTACAGTGCTCTGTGCCACCCCCTGCACCACCGGGCTGCCTCGTCCCCAGGCCGGACTCGCCGTGCCATTGCTGTTGTGCTTGGGACTGCCCTGCTGACTGGCATCCCTTTCTACTGGTGGCTGGATGTATGGAGGGACACAGACCCCCCCAACATGCTGGACAAGGTCCTCAAATGGGCTCACTGCCTCATTGTCTATTTCATCCCTTGTGGTGTCTTCTTGGTCACCAATTCGGCCATCATCCGCCAGCTCCGGCAGAGCGGGCAGAGTGGTCTGCAGCCCCACGTGGGCAAGAGCACAGCCATCCTCCTGGGCGTCACCACACTCTTTGCTCTCCTGTGGGCACCCCGCATCTTCGTCATGCTCTATCACCTGTATGTGACCTCCGTCCACCAGGACTGGAGAGTCCACCTCGCCTTAGATGTGGCCAACATGGTGGCCATGCTTAACACAGCAGTCAACTTTGGCCTCTACTGCTTTGTCAGCAAGACTTTCCGGGCCACTGTCCGAGAGGTCATCCACAATGCCCACCTGCCCTGCATCCTGGGGTCACGGCCAGAAGGCATGGTGGTGGAGCCTGTGCTGAAGGCTCCAGGACTCCCCAAAGGAACAGAATTGTAGTGGAGGAGACCTGGCCAGGGAACTTGAGGTGCTGGGGCCTTTGTGGTTGTACCCAACAAAACTTTCTCAATTCCCTGCTTTGCACTCTGGGGGGTGGGGGCAGAAGCACCTCCCCTTGGGGGTGGTTCTCCAGTATAAGGGAGGACAACTTATCCAACCCTTATGTCAGCTTCACCAGCAATTCCTACTTCCTAGGAAGAGGCAAGGGCTCTGCCAGGCACAAGCTAGTAGCATCTACTGCTGTGGGTGTTCCTTTGCAAGGGACATTCACCTGGCACATTATGGATGCTAAATTAGTATAGGCTGAAAAAATGGTGGATGGATGGATGAGTGGGTGGGTGGGTGCGTGGGTGGGTGGGTACATGGGTAGATGGATGGGTGGGTGGGCAGATGGGCGGATGGATGGATAGATGAGTAAGTGGGTGGGTGGAAGAGTGGATGGATGCATGGGTGGATGGGTGGGTGAATAGGTGAGTGGGTGGATGGGTGGATGGATGGGTGGGTGGGTAGATGGATGGATGGGTGGGTAGGTGGGTGCAGGGGTGGATGGGTGGATGGG